ATTTTATTAATTTTTATTTTTTTTTCCCTTTTTTAAAAACCTTTTATTTGACTTTAATTTATTGAATTATTTTTTTTCCTTTTCTTAAAAAGGCTTTCACTTGACTTTAGTTTCAAGTTTTTAAATGACTTTATCTGTACAAAAGTAAAAAATGACTTTATCCGATACAGATTTAAATAAAATTTAAACTACAGTACTATCTATATTACGTAATTATGATTTTGAAACTTATCTCATTGTTAAAATTTCGAAAGTATGTATGAAATTCCTATAAATCTGTTAAGTATGACTTGTCGAGTTGAAAGTTGAAACTATGAAAAATAGTCTAATTTTTGCATTTCGAAAACTTGAAAATTGTATAATTGGTTAAATGTAAGAATTATTAAGTAAATATAGAATTTTAAAAATTAGTTGTTTAGTATGCATTATTTTAATTAATAAATGATTTTTAGAATGATTAAGTATTTAAAGAATAATAAAAAAAGTAATGCTTTTTTACACCTAAGCCCCGCCTAGGTTCGTAAAGCTTGAAGTTTAGCCTCCACAACTAATCATGTTTTAAACTTTTTAGAACACTGATTTAAAGCCAATTCCTCTAGTATGCCACATATAATCATACATTTTCAATTACTTCACCCACACTATTCGTATTCATAAAACCCCAGTCTAGGTTGCATGCACGCAGACACACAACAAGAACAAGCAGACACATGATGTTCTAGAAAGGTAGTACACAACATGTTGGGTACCGGTCAATTAAAATATTTTTTTTATTATTTTATTTTTAGTCTATGGCTCTTTATTGGGAAAAACATGACTGATTAATTTGTGAACTTCTGCATTAACCTATAAATGATTGACTTTCCAATGGGGCCCACTAAAATTTTTAATGGAGAAACATGTACAACTTTTGCTTTTAAAGTACCTTATTTAAGAAACAGGGGCAGTTTTGATTTTTAGTTAGGTGAGAATTCAATGGAATACGTTAGGGTTTCTTCTCCACCAACCATCTTCAGTTTCATGTTTAGCTTAGGGTTTTTGAGCGACCACTGACCGCATTTCTTAGCATAGTCGTACTCCGGCGAACTTCATCTCCTCTTCCACTAACTACTTTTGTTGTTGTATTCAACCTAGGAATCTCCTGAAATTTTTATTTTTTTAGATTGCATTCGACATGTGTGGGAGCATGTATGGCGCGTGACCATGCAAGTTAGGTCCTATTTACACAAGTTACACAACGTTAACCAGTTGTCTTTTAATTTATCTGTATAGGTGTTATTTCACCATTTCATGAAAAGCACTTCTTATTATTGTAAACCATGCATCTTCTCTTTATGACACAATATTATTTATAAAGCAAGGGACTTGCATTTATTAGGATTTTTCCATCAAATAATCTCCACAAGCTACTAAAATTGCAAATTTAGGCATCAAGAAAAATATAGGCTCGTTCTCTAGGATAATATGGATCTATCAAAAGATATCAAAAGGTGAAGAAAGCATATAAAAGAAATTACCTTCCATTTCCATATCCACCACACCACCAAATAGCACAGCCCTCTTTTTATGAACACACATAGAGAACCCAGCACGGGGTCCTGGAGGCATCCCACTCTTCTTCACCTTTTAAATAGCACAAACGAAACAGAAGGTTTACTGTTTGCACCTAAAAGAAATTCTTGCATAACAAATAGGTAATCTATTTCACAGATGTGGACAACATAACATGTGTCCTCATTAACCAATATGCCTTTCAAAAATTCATCTTTTTACCTTCAAGAAAATATTCTCAGGTACAACTTCCACAAAAATTCAAAACTCCAATTGAATCATGCAACTATTTTGGCAAATAAACCACAGACTAGAATTATCTCAGCAATGCATTGGAACTAAAAACAGAAACAGAATATGTGGTCCTTCATATATGGAGTTTGCCACACAAAGTAACTTGTACAAAACTCCAAGAAAAAAATGAATAGCTCAAAAACCATATGGTTCCATGGTACAAGTGCTGAAGACTTTGGTATTACCTTATATTACATACACAAATACATGTATCTATGCATGTGTGATGTATTGACTTGACCTGTTAATAATTGATTAAGTAATTACGACTTGATCTGTTAATACTTGATTAAGTAATTATATAAAGACCAGGCTTTCATATGAAAGAGAATCTCTGTCTTTTGGTCAAATCAAATGTAAATAGTATATGATTAGCAAAAACAAACAATATGATTAACAAAAAACTAAGACAATTATTAAACGTAATGCAGTGTAGAGAACCACGGGAGACTATATTAATACCATACAAATTAATCTCAAATCATCAATGCCTATACCAACATACAATACCAAACGTGTGGAGACAACACTATAATAGTCCTTACATATTTTCAACAATCAAGTTATCTTGGTGATAAGCAACAGAAACAAGATTGAATTTTCTAGAAACCCAATAGACAGACATGAAATCCATGTTAGTGAGGAGACCTTTAACACCCAAAAGCACATGGCGCACACACAGGGTGGGGGAGGGGCGGGGTAGAAATATAGGTAGAAGAGAAAGAAATTCTACTTCATTTTCATATGCATATCATTACTACTAGGGAATGGAGAAAGAGTGAAAGAATTAATATACAGACCTTGTTCCACTCCCAAGTCCTGGGATCAAGGCGCCACATGTCTGAATGAACAATTCCTTTCTCAGAGACACTTTTATCTGATGAAACCTCTTTTGAATAGCCTCCGTATAAATAAATCTAAAAAAAAGGTATTGATGAGAAAAATGTTAAACAGTTAATCTTGAGAGAGTAATAATTTAAGACCCGGCAGAGCATTATCAAGTTTTCCCTAAAAGAATGGTACTTGAATAGTGACCAAATAATTAGCAAAAGTAAATGGAATTCAGCAAAAACATGTAAATGGAATAAACCATAACCTCATTCATGAGTTTTGTCAATGACATAACATTGATATCATCATTCACGTCTACAGTAATGAGGTATTGGGAACGTCCTACTTCCTCCATTCGTTATATATGTGATAAGCTATTGTCAGCATGTCGAGCACATTGTGTATACTTTGTAATGATTTCCCTTATTGAGGTTGGGAGTGACGGTAATTTATACTTAGACATCAAGAACAGATTACATTGGGAAAAAAATATAATAACGTTAGCTAGTATCATGTGTATTGTTGAAGTACTCACCTCATCTTGGTAAACAACAAACTGGAAGCCACTTCGAGGACTTGGCCACATGCACCCAGGAGTAGGTTTTATCTCTTGCCACTATAATGCATCAAGACATAGATTTAGCCATAAGAATCTGAATTTGAAATTACAAGCAACGAAAATTTGGGTAGAAAGTCTTATACCTTAAACTGATCAAGGTCAAATACGTGCAAATCATTGAAGTACCTGCAGCAATGGAAGACTTTAGATGGAAAATAAGAACAATATTAGGAAACAAGTACCAATGCTTCATATAAGCATATGTGTATGGTTCATTCAAAATGCCATGGAAACTTGAATCAAAGAATGACAGTATTACATCAGCGAATAAGAATAAACTTCAAGAAAATAAGCAATGGAAACTAATAATGTAATGGGTAGAAAACATATCAGAGAGATGAAATATAAGATTACTGAACCTTTCGGAGAGAACAAAGCAAGGAACATGAGGAGCATCATCAGTACAGAAACTCATAGTAAAAGTGATGTTTTAGTGTTCTTTCTTATTTCCTTATCTATTGTTGCCCGTAAAGTCTGACAAAAATTACATCTTTATTTAAGGGTTCTGCTAGAGATAAAAGCTAGGAGTATGTTTAGAAATGAAATTTCTAGCTCAATCAAACTGAAGTTGCTTGACAGGAAATTTGGCATTCCGCTAAGCAATGAGGTTTGAGCTTCTAGAGTCCGTCAACTTCCAATTAACTTCACAGATTGTCGAGCCTCCAAACCAAAGACCTTAAAGTTTGACAAAAAAATAAAAATAAAAAAATGTGTTTTTAATACTTAAAAACATCAATGAAGGGTTTTGACCAAGGTGGTCTATTCTACTTCCATATACACTTCCTTCTCCGGATCCCAAATCTCCTCTTGCAGTCTTAAACAGTAGGTGCCTAAAAGAGGTATCTCCCGAAAAAAATGTGACAGACACTAACAGTTTTTTATAACCCACCTCCAGAGAAATACCAATTGTTCTTTTAACAAATACATTAAGAAAATTATCATCAATACGTTCTCTGTCTAGAACAATTAATGCTTGCATTTTTTTAACAAATCATCAAATATTTTATGTGATATTGAGAAAGGAGAGAAAGAAGAAAACCAAGCCAAAAAAAAAAGAAAAAGAAAAAATTCACCATCAAATCATCAGTAAAGTGAAGCATAAGTTGGTTAATCATCCCTACATATAGAAAGACCTTACACAAGTTTCAACGAAACAGAGTTGAGCATGTAACATCTTAACAGTAGTATGAATTTCATCCCATCACACATTTATGTGAACATACAGGCTGGGAAAGAGAAACAAAGCACTACCTCACTTCTCTAAGAGTGTCATAGAAGCCTCCAAAAACTATAATCTTGTGTTTGTACAAGACCTGCAAAATATGGGCAATAGAAGCATATGTAAGACCTCAAAACTCAATGGTGAAAGGAAGTCAAACAAGTAACACCTAAAAACTTACCATTCGGTGACCTGAACGTGGACAAGGACAACCTTTATAATTTAGCTGCTCCCACTGATTTGTTTTCAGGTCCAGCATCCAGAAGTCCTGCAACAACAAATTTCAAAATTGACAATTCAATCTTTAACAATATTCTCCTATTTGTTTCAAAATATGCAATGTCTACCTTGTAGTGGTGGAAACGCTCTTGGTTAGGAGATGTGAATTCACCACCTAATAACACCAAAAAGAAAGAAAAAATCTGTTCTTATCCATCGGGTAACAACCATTGTCTGTGTGCATTAGATGCATATGTGCATTAGCCTGTTTGTTGTATGCACACACATCCAAAAAATTACAAAATTTATGTGCATTTATCTAGCCTGAAAATTTACCATAAACATAAAGATAATTCTTCCAGGAAACAGCCTGATGAGCACTCCGAGGAGGTGGACTATTAGGGCTTGAAATCAATTTCCACTCTTGCTTTTCGACATCAAATCGGTATAGATCTCCATATACAAATGTCTGCACGCACAGTTCCAGTGCTCAAATTCATGAGTTGCCGCTTGTCAACACAAACAATACAAAGAAAATGACAATTTGTTTTCAAGGATTTAAAAAATGAAAAGAACACAACAAGGGAGTTCTTAACACCTAACACTACCTCCATACAACACCATTAAGCAGCTTTCTAAGCACAACATCGAAAATTTAATTTAATGCAAAATACTTAAAAGACCTGACCTTGCTCCCATTGTAGAATTCACCTCCATACAGAATCAACTCCGTGTCTTTCAAAGGATTGATTGTTAACTACATAAAAAGTAAAACAACCAAACAAACCCCTGGCCATTTAAATTCGAACACATCAATAAAACTAAATTAGAAATGTCAGCCAAAAAAATTCAAAGAACTTACCGAACAATTCGATCTTGGAGATGGTGCAGGCACATTGTCTTCAATATGCACTTCCTTCTTTTTGGCCTCTTCTTTTTGAATACTCGACTGCGTGCCAATTTTTTTCAATTCATTACTATAATCCCTTTCTTCATCATTCAAACTAAACAAATGTTACTGTACGTAAGATTTACATGAGTAAATTCAATAATGGTGCTCATATTAAAAGTGAAATAATAATGTCTTAAAAAATCATTATTTTTTCATTGTTTCAGTTATATGGAGCTGCAATTTCACCAGAATAGCATCTATGTCATCTTCAGGTGAGAGTTTTTTGGATTCTCTGCGAGCTCGTTTTTCCTCTGCTTTGGCTGTTTTCTTTTCCGTTTTCTCTTTTCCTTTCCCTGGCTTCTTCGCTTTCTTTCCCATATTCCTTCCTTTTTTACTTCCTCCACCGCAGCGGCT